CCAATATTACCACAGTGTCCTTTAATTCCCCAAGAACTCAGAAAAAGACAGAAAGAAGAGAAGGAAAGAGCTCTGCAAAATCACAGAGGGGGTATAGAGAAGAAGAAAAGAGCAGATTTCTGATCCATTTTAAGAATGATTCAAACCATTTTTTTAGAAATGACATAAGCTTTAAAAGTGTGGTAAACCTCTTTGGAAATTTGGGGAGGAGGCATAAGTAATGAAAAAAAATTCATTTTGACAAGGAAGGATCGAGAGAGCATTAAGGCTGATAAATAAAGGTTGGGAAGTACTTTTCTCAAGATTGTGAGGGATATTGATTAAAGGAGGGAGGGGAGGAGACACAGAGAGAGAGAGAGAAATGAGGCATAGGAAGAATGTGAGACAATGTGAAATGTGACTGAAGGGAGAAGACCTGAAAGAAAATTGACAAAAATAACACATCAACAAGGAATAATTAAGTTTTGTATTTTGGAGTTTTTATGTGTTTCTTTAAATGTTGCTCCTATTTAAGAAAATGAACATCCATTATATCTCATTCTAATCAAGATGTGTAACAAACAGGTATTCTGAAAAAAAAAAAACAGACCAGGAAATGAGAACATTTTAATAGGACTGACATACTATGCTAAACACTTCACTGATTATCGAATTAAATGTTCATGGCTTCCTTTGACTTGTCCTGGCAACATTTTGAAAAATGAATGAATAGAAGACTGAAGTACTTCTGGTTTGAGTTGACATTTGAGGGGAAAAAAATGTAATCTGTCCTACTCTGGTGCCTTATCACAAAATGCAGATCACTCTACTTTGTCACTCAGATCATTTCACTGACCTACTCTGCCAATGTTTCTCCACAGCCTGGAAGTCAACAGGGTGAGCAAAACCTACGTCAACAGAGTACAAGCTCTGGCAGAACCTACCAAGCCAGAAAGCATCCAAGGCTCCATCATTAAAGAGAGGCTGTAAGTGAGTCATGCAGAAAGGCTTATTACCATAGTTGTGTACAGAGCATATGCCAGGACACCCGAGCCATTCTCACTGCATGACCATGCTTATTAACAGAACTTTGATCAAGGGATTCTTTCTTGTTCTTCTTCTTGTCCTTTTTATTATCTTTTTTTTCCTTCTTTCCTCTTTTTTTTGCCAAAACAACTCATCAATACTATCTACGAAGTTTGAAGAAGTTTTAGTCTGCATTGGTAAAGAACTCCCCTGCCAATGAAGTTATGGCTACTAACAGCACTAAAATATAAGTTTGTAATTTAATATGTGGATATCTAGCTGACCATATTTATATTATGACAAAAACTTTTCTATGTTAAAATAGCAATTTTGTACTTTCAAAACCTGTGTCATATGAATCTTTTTTTTGTTTTCTTTACTGAAGCTAAAGAGATTGGCAATCAGTACCTGTTGTACCTAGAAACTTAATTTGACTACTGGAGAAATAATTCCTGAAAAGGTTTGATCTAACAATGTATTTGTACATCTGCTAAGAAGCTTAATGTTTGAATTACCTAAACAGTTTGTCCACATTTCTATGGGAAAGTGGGGCCTAGAACTGAAAAGAGATCTTAGAGGTCATTTAGTCAAACTCCTTCAATTTCCAGAGGAAATAAGTGCTAGAGAGGTTATGTTATTTACTCAAGCTCATACAGTAAAGTAGCACAGGCAGAATTCAAACACAGCAGTCCTAAGAGTCTTCAATTTTCCCACTGAACTTGGATTCAACGACCTGATTTCAGATCTCGGCTCTGCCATTTTCTACTTGTGTGACTTTGGGCTAGACACTTAATTTCTAATTCCTCCACTACCAGTGATCTCCACCTTTCTACAATTTAGCAGATAGCTTTTAAGAGTTGCTAAGGCAGGAACATCATGGAGACTGGCATGGAAGGATGATGGGAAGTTAAGAGTTAACCTAGGCTACCCCTTACCATCCTAAGTCAACAACAAAGATGTCCAGTAATGCAATAAAAACAGCTACAGCAAAGAAAATGAAAGAAGTCACCACAGAATGATTCTTACAGGGGAAAAAAGCTGCAGAAGAGTTTCTGTGGTAGAAAAATTTACTATCCTGGAGTCTTCAAAGCTTCACTAAGTTGATCGCCAGACAGTGGATGAACAGTCCATGCCCTGGATGCTACCCAAAGCCTTCCCACCTTCATAGGACCTGCCAAAGGTTTCTTTCTGTTGGCCCAGCCTTCAAGAATCCAGGGTCATAAACCTCTCAATCAGAGGCATCAGTACAGGAAGTTAATGGCAGCTGGCATATAGCTGCGTTCAATAAATGGTTTTTGTTGTTTTTTTTTTATGATGATGATCAACTTTTTTCATTGTTATGTGCTTCAGGTATTTTGACAAGTGGGCCTGTCTGTACATTGCAGCTATTCTGATGCATGTACTGACAGGAAGCTTTTACCCTTGACATCTGAATGTCACATGCATGCACCAGTGACTGTCAATAGGCAGGACAGGGATATTTTAACCATTTTTGATAGGGCAGAGGGGTTGGAAGAGTTAGATCTATGATTTCACTGTTAGTAGTAAATTCCCAATGATGACAATCTACCAGTGCAAACAAGTACCTGCTTTACAACTTCGAGAGCATTATTAGATAGTTGAGTCTTAGAAGATTTAAGAGAATAACAATTTTTAGTCCATACTAGCAATGTGACCTCTTTGGGCATTTGTTTCTTTATGTGTAAAATGAAGAGATTGGATTAGGATTCCCAAGGTCTTCCTGAGTTCCAAAATTCTGTGATTCTAGTTTGGAGCAGAGACAATCAATCAATCAATCAACAAGCATTTATAATATGTTTACTATATGTCAGAATCGGCAGGAGATTTTAGGTGATAAGTTTAAATGCTCACCAATGGATACAGTGCTGGGCCTGGAGTCAGGAAGACCTGAGTTTGAATCCTGTCTTGGCTACATACTACCTTATGACATTGGAAAAGTCACAAGCCTCTGCCTTGCCTCATTTTCCTCATCTATAAAATGCAGATGATAATAGCACCTGCGTCACAGGGTTGTTGTGAAGATCAAGTGAGATAAAACTTGTAAATTGGCCTTGAATGTAATAGGGGCCTTGAATATAATAGGCTCCTTGAGCACAGAAGGCAATAAATGTTTGTTTGTTTTTTCTCTTCCTTTGGCCCATATCCACCTCCAAATAAATCACCCTCATTATCTATTCTACTTTCACCCTTTTTTCTCTGGTCCTGAAACTAGGACAATAGCTACACGTGTGGACATAGGCACTCAGGAAGGAATGCCCAGGTGGGGAGTGATACTATACAATTCACTCTGAGAGGGCAAAAATCTCATGACAACTTCTTCAACTTTTTCTTTCCCCCTTCATTGACCAACTAGGGAAAAGAACAAAATTATCCAAGTTTGAGATCCAAAATCTAAAGGTGAAAGAAAAAAAAAAGAAACTGATCTTGGACACAACAGATTGATTTAAGTCTTGGAGGTCTCTCTCTCATAGTAATCTCTATGATTCATAACTTGACCCAGGTTCTTCCTTGGGAAAATAAAAATCCATCTAGTGGCCCTCAGCTCCCCTGCAACTTAGGCTAAACCTGTAAATCGGGGGGTGGGGGGGATTTTTCAAAATCTAAATTTGGGTTTAGAAAGAGGAAGGAAAGGAGCTAAAGTCTCTTACCTCCCAGTTCAAAAATCCACGTGAAGAAACCTAAGGAGCTTACAAAACTTGTCCCAGCTCACCAAGCTAATGCGTGGCAGAGCTAGACTAGAGCCTGTGTTGATTCCCAAACTGCTCCATCTCCACAACTTAGGAACTGGGTGACCTTGGACAAGCCACAAATTCTCTGGGCCTGACTTTCTTGAGTGAAATAAAGAGACTTGGTTCAGAAAAAAAAAAGAGGAAAATTAACCTAAGACTATTTTTCCCTATCCTCTTTATTGCCATAGGAAATTGGCACAAAATGACAGAAGAAAAAAAAAGAGAGCGAAAGAAAGGGTTCCACCACTACCCCCTCATCAGAGTTGTTCCAGGACAAATTGATATGTTAAGAATGTGAATTAACAACTTTGAGAAATGTTATCAGAAATTATGGGATATGGAGAGGGAGTGCTACTCTGTATGCTCTCTTAGTAGGACAGGACTAGTGGTTCATTTGCTGGGATAAATATTTAGAATACAGCTGGCCTTCAGAAGGTACATTAAAAATACAGTACTGTAGTTTGGTCTCCAGCCCAAAGCTTTGGTCTATGGCACTCAGCCATTCATCTCTGCCAACCAGGCCCTGGCCCCATTTCCCCCATTCCAGGAAATACCCTGCCATATACACCTGTTAGGAAGTCTATACCTCAGGCATCACCTGTGCCTCAACACTGCTTTGGGTCTGCCTGTGTCTGCCTGAGGTAGGGGAGGCGAAAGAGGGGAGAGCTAGGACATTAAGAAGAAAGGGGCAAGACAAGGAAAGGAAGCCAAATGCCAGAGCTCTTAGCAAACAGACTGAGCCTCAGAAGCTGAAGGGGGCGGGGGTTGGGGGCGGATCAGAGGCAAATGTGAACCTAGAGGAAGGATGAGGCTGGGGAGAGGGTAAAAGAGGTGAAAAGGAAGGGATGTGAAGAAGGCTTAGAGAGAGCAGGGGAGTGTGTAGCAGCTCACATTACGCTCCCAGTGTCAGTTGAGGGAGCGTGGCGGTGGCTGTGGGGTTGAAGCTGAAGGGTTTGTGAAATTCTCTGTATTTCTCCCTGCAGCCTGCGCGCCGCCTTCTGATTAGCTCGGGCCGAGCTCCCTCAGCCGACCAGCCGGCGGCATTAGGCCTCGCACTGTGAGTCCCGGGGAGAGGACACCTTGCCCTCAGGCTGCTGCTTGGACCTTGCCCCGAGCCTGCTACTTGGACTGGAGAGGGAAAGGGTGGACTGCAGCCCAGAGTCAACTCCACCCCCGGGGAGTTGGAAAGAGGAGCAGCGGGAAGGAGGAGTGCGACTAGGCAGCAGGCAGCGCGAAGCCCCAGCGGGAGGAGCCAACTGCAAGCCCCGGAGATGCGGCCGCTCGCGCCGCACCAGCAGCGCGGAGGAGAGGCGAGAGAAGGCTCGGCAGAGCGAGCAGATGGAGGCTTCTACCTTAACTCCTGCAGGAAGCGGCCAGAACCCGATTCGGAGCTCCCCATCTCGGCCCAACGTCTCCACTCGCCCTATGACGAGAGAAGCTCCGGGCCGGGCAGTGCTTCGGAACTGATGACCCGCGGCGACAGGGATGCAGTCGGCTCTCCCCAGTGGCTCGGGGCGCCCCCGGCACCGGCCTGGAGCCCCAAGGGAGTCACCGGCAGCAAGTGTGTAGCTGCCGGGAAAGCTAGGTCCGGAGCCCCGGCTACCGCAGCTTGCCCGGGGGCGCTGTCCACTGCTGAAACGCCAGTGGCGCCCGGGGCGGAAGACTCGACACTCCCAGCCTGGATGCGACTCTACTTCTACGGGATGCACGGCATCACCTTGGATGTGCTCATTTCCTCGGCTCGGGGTTTCCTCCACAGCCCCGACCTGAAGATGCTGGGCTTCTCCACTCCCTATCACTGTCTGCTGCACTCGCTCACCCAGTTCGCCCTGGAGAAGGTTTACCTGCAGCGGCGTCGCTGTCCCAGCACCTTCGCCTTTAATTTCCTCTTGTACCCCTCGGCCCACTTGGGACTGCAGACCTTGGTGGGCAAGGCGCTACTGCTGATAAGCCACGGGGGGCGGCAGTTGGGCGAAGCGGCACCGGGAGCACTGGATCTAGCTCTCCAGTACGTGCTGGCAGTTTATTATTCCCAAGTGTTTCTCAAGAGGTTCCTGCGCTTGCGATACCGCCGCCCTCAGCCGCAGCCCCAGCCACAGTGGCGCGGCCCCCCTCCACTGTCCGGCTCTCGGATAGCTGCGGCGCCCAGTACCGGGCGGCCGCGGCCCCGGGGCGCCGGGGTGTTCGGGGGAGCGCCCAGCCAAGGGCTCCCTGACCTTCTCCGCTTTCTCTTCTTCGGGATGCATGGTTTCCTAGATGAGATCTTTTTCACTTTCTTCTTTAACCTTCTGGAACAGGAGGACGGGGCCATCAACGGCCACACTTCGCTCTGGTCTTTTTTTATGTATGGCAGCTGCAGCTTCGTGGTGGAAAAGCTATACTTCTACCTGCACTACAGCCGAGGCTGGGGAACTTGTAAGAGGATTCCCATCTATGTTCTTTTCATCTACACGTGGGAATTGTCTTGGGGACTGGGACTCCGCATGTGTGGGGGCTGTTCGTGGGACTACTCTCACTACCCATTGAATTTCATGGGACTTATCACCCTTATGTATTTGCCGGGTTGGATATTTCTTAGCTTCTATCAGGACCTGCTGTCCAATGTGTTGTGGCGTGTACAATACATACCAACTAAATGAAGCAGGAAATAACAACTGAAGTCCCGGGACGTTTTTTAAAGGAAGTTTAAAAATGGGGGAGGTGTTTTTTAATCTTTTACTTTTTATACATTTTACTAAAGTCTCTTCAAACATGTTTTATTTACAATTTTGATTTTCTGGGTGTTTTGAACCTATGCATAATATAGTACCTTGAAATATGGCACTTTGGAGATGAATTCTAACTCAAAGTATTTAATTCTTCTTTAAAAACTTTTACAACACACACACACACAAAACCTTCCTACCTTAAAGACTGAAAGCTGTGGTTTGCACTTACCTGTGTGTACATCAGTGAGGGCTACTAAGCTTTCGTAAATGGGAAGTGCTTCCATGAAAGACCAATAATTTTCAAAAGATTTAGTGAAGTTTTCTAATTTTCCTTCACATATTAATCCAGGCTGCTACTTTCCATGCCACCAATGCCTGCTGAAATTCATTGACCTGAACACCTGAAATTGCAGCTTGTAACTCTCAAAGTGCCTCTGTCTAGCATTTAAGTGGAAGGAAGGAAGCTGATAAATGTGGGAACAACCCTAAGAATAGCATCTAAATAAGAGGTCTTTCCCAGCAGCTCAGACAGTTGACACTATGTTAAGATATTTGATCTCCATCTTGGAAATGACTGCTCTCCAGCGTTGGTTAGCCTTAAACACCAAGTGTATTAAAGTTGATAAAATCTTATTTTATCTATGCTTGGTTTTTCTTTTTTAAAAAATGTGCCTATAAAACAAAATGCATACCTCCAACAGTGAGAATCTCCTTCAAAAGTACTCTTATTCTAAGACCCTGTTTCTAGGTCAAGTTCAAATCCATGATACTATGACCCTAAAGAGAAACAAATATCTGGAAAAATAAAGTACTTATCATAAAATCATTGGATTCAAAATTGGAAAGGACCAGAGAGATTATCTATTCCAACTTCTTTATTTTACATATGAAGATGCTGGAGCCCAGGAGAGGTTAAGTAAATTGCCCAAAGTCACAAAGACCTACACTGTTATATAGACACAGATCTATCATGTGACCTATTCCTGCTTTATAACAACTTTAAAAGTATATCATTTTATCTGGGACCCCTAGGGTACATGGGTTAGGCCTAATGAATTAATGCTTAGAAGAAATCAGTGATGGATTTTTGTGACTCATCCTAACTGCCCTAAATTAAATAAAGGGGGGAAAATTGTATATAAACCAAGAAAACTTGTTTAATTAAAAATTACCTTTCTGGTGTTGTTAAATGTGGGGGGAGGGGAATGGACTTAAGTTTAATACAGACCACATAAGACCACATAATCAAAACCATCTCAATGCTCATTACAGAGATAGGAAAATCTGAAAGTGCTTTTTAATATGATTATTGCTTTATTTAAGCATACTTGTTTACATATAAATTCTTTGACTTTTCTTGAGTTTTCCTCATCAACCCTCTGTAACACATCGAATCAATGGGTAAAGTAAAATTTGCCATATTTGATTAAACCCAGTAAGATGCACATGGCTCATTTTTGTCTTTCTTCCCCCAGTACCTTGTATGTAGGTGCTTGGTTAATATTTGTTTACTTGAAATGAACTGACCTACAGGTAAAATGCATGAAAGCAAACTAGTAAATCCTAACCACCCATAGTCATTACTGTGGGCAAAAGACCTGGGTTTTAATATAGGCAGCTAAATGGCACAGGGGATAGAGTGCTAGACCTGGAATGAGAAAGACCTTTCAATACAACATTATATGAGGAAGCATCTGTGATCACTAAACATCCAATGAACTGCTCCTGAAATCACCACTTGCCTCTATCTAGGGACAAGTGTTATAAATGTATGCCAACTTCACTACTAGCCCTCTTTCATGACTGAATGACATAAACATCTTTAGCTTATTCATAAAGTCAATTATCTCTTTACATGTCAGTTTCCTTATCTGTAAGATGGGGTTAATAATAACACTTACCTCCCAGGGTGGTTGTGAGGATCAAATGAGATTATATTTGTTAAAAGTGTTCTTCAAAGCACTATATAAATGCTAGTTAATATTATTGTTATGTAGAAGAGTGCTAAAGTTCATAGAGCCTAATCATTAGACCTCTCCGTTAAAATATCAGCTAGAGTATCCAACTATCAACAAAGCATCTGTGAATACAGTGTTATTTTGTTGTTATTGGGAGTCAGAAGTCCTGGATTCAAATCCCAAATCTGTCACCTATTAAGTGCCAAAATTTAAGATTTAGTCACTTAACCTCTCCAGGTTTCTACTTCTTCATCTGCCAAATAGAAGGGGCTACACTCTTTCAGCTCTATGATCCCATGAAATAATAATTCACTAGCAGTGATCATTTTACCAGATCTATATGGAGGCAGCTCTTATTCAAGAAGTGATTATCAGAATTGTGGGTTATTCAAGGCTTCTTGCTCCAGTGTTATTTATCTTTGGATATGTTCAAATTTATGCTTGAATGCCATTTCACTGCTCTTCCCTACTTACCCACACCCAAAGGAAAGCTAGAGAAAGGAAGTGATAAACTAGACAAATCTATTACTTGTTTGTAGCAATAGTATTAAAGGTGTGATAAGGAAATACAGTGATCAAAAATATTTTCAATTCCTTGTGAATTTCAATTATCCATATTATCTTTATCTCCTGTTACCAGTGGTCCTAAGTTGTCTGTGTCACAGTGAAAGCTGTTTACAACATTCTCCTCATTACACAAATTGATAGGTAGAAGGAAATTGAATCTGGGACTGAGATCAGCAATATGTACTAGTTCTATTTTCCCAAATGCTGAGGCTCTCTATATGAGTGATATGCTCTCATACAGTTGCACAGAACTAGAGAATGTGGGTTCTAGGAAGGATATTAGAGATCATGAAGTCCAACCTCTTCATTTTACAAATGAAAAAACTGAAGTGTAGCTAAGTAAAAACAATTTGCCTCAGGTCAAAAGTCAAGTGAATGACACAGGTGAGGCTAAAACACAGGTCTTCTGTCTCTCAGTGGTACCCATGTGGTGGTCTAAACTCTTTGCATTGTACTTCACTGTCCTAAGCCAGAAAGCCTTGTGTCAGTCAGCTAATAAGCATTAAGTGCCTACTACATGCCAGACACTGTGCTAAGTACTGAGGATACAAAGACAAAACATAGTTCCTTCTCTCAAGGAGCTCACAGTCTAAGGGGTAAGACAACATGCAAACAACTATAGGATCAGGATAAATTGGAAATAACCAACAGAAGAAAGTTACTAAGATGATGGGGGATTGGGAAAGGCTTTAAAATTAGCCCAAGAATACAAGATAATAACTTGCATTCATATAAAACATTAAGGTCTTCAAAGGGATTTCTTTACAACACCATGAGGTATTTAGTGTAACCATTATTATCCTCATTTTGAAGATGAGAAAATGAGACTCTGAGAGGTTAAATAATTTAACTGCATTCATACACCAAATAAGTGGTTAAGGTGAAAATCAAACTCAGGTTTTTTGACTTCTTTTCTAGCATTCTTTATACTATACCACACTGTCCCCCTGAAAACCTAATAGAAATCATTTGAGAAAATACTACCCCAGTGCCTTAGTTTGGCATGGAGATAAGTGCCAGGGGTATACTGGAGCTATCTCTTACTGTATTGTTATATTTTCAGTGTGAGCATTTATATGTTGGAAACTGGCAAAGCTACAAATCAGGGCTTAATTTATTGTTTGTTTGTCTAGACTCAATAAAGTGATGGATAAAATGGTAATAATGCAGATTAAACTAAAAAATGTACCTTGTATACTTTTTTTTTGATTGGGGATAGCCAGTTGTTAACCATTTACTAACATGTTCCTGGAGGTAACCCAACTTTCCCAAAGGTTATGCCAGCATAACACAAGCTTGGGATGATTCTACTAAGCTATAAAGATTTCAAGCATGCACCAAATGGTGACTGTATCTACTATCCAAAGACCAGGCTGGCCAAAGAAAGAGAGGTATTGTTACCAGAAAGTAGGTCAATAATTGATCAATTTTTGGCACTGGTAGCTCTTTTCAAAACTCAGAATAAATAGCACTGGTGAAAAATCCAATGTATTAAAACAGTAAATGTGCATGCATTTTTAATTAATAATTGTTTAAATTCAGTAGGCTGGGTAAAGTTTGGAGGAGAAAAAGAGGCAATGATGAATATCCTATTCTTAGCTGATAGCATGGACATCAAAACATTTACATATAAAGTAATAGCACTCAATCCCTTTCAAATTCAATTTAAATCTAACATTTCTTATAAGTTTTTTAGATCTGAGGATTTTAGTATTATAAATTTGGAACTGAAAGTGACCTCAGAGGTAATATTCACATTTGGTTGTGATTACTGACTCTCATAAGTAGCTAGGTGGCACAGTGAATAGAGTGCTGGGCCCTAAGTTCCAGTCTGGCCTCAGATATGTACTAGCTGTGTGACCCTGGGCAAGTAACTTAACCCTTTGCTCAGTTTCCTCATCTGTAAAATAAGCTGGAGAAGAAAATGGCAAACCATTCCAGTGTCTTTGCCAAGACAACTCCAAATGGGGTCACAAAGAGTCAAACATAACTGAAACCACTGAACAACTGACTCTTAGAAATCATGTCACCATGAAATGTCATTTATAGTAATATGGATAGGTACAAAACTCCCATAAAACATATGAGATAGCTTTACTAAGACTGACAATGACGTGGTTAATTCAGCTTCTAATGTTTTATGTCAATATTTAACAGTTGCCATACATAAACATTCACTTAGTGAATACAGCTTAGGAAGTATCTTGCTGTGTAGGAACATAACTAAATGAACAAGTTTGGCATTTTGATAATGTAGTCTTAACTATTTTTAAAATGATAAGCAGGATCTGCCTGGTTTTCCTTCAGGGGACAGGAGAAAGAAGTTCAAATAAACAATTGGCTTCATTTCCTTTTTCAGTAACGCATATGTGAAATCAATAACAATGGAAAGGAAATTATCTTGCCTTGGAATGACAAACAAGCCACCACAGTGCAATGTCTGAAAGCAGTTTTTAAAATCTATTTTTGCCTGTATTAAAAGGCAGTAACATAAAAATACACTGGGCTTTAAATTAATTTTATGTATCTCGTGCGTTACCGCACTGATATGTGCTATGTGTTATATATTCCATTGAGTTGCTTTTTGTGAGTTTTGTTTTGTTTTCAGAACCAGCATTTCACCAGTGTTGGAAGCTCCCTGGTATGGAAACTTCCTGAACTAATGCAAATCAGCATTAACTCCTCTGTAACTTGGATTCTTACAAAGTTGCTTGGGCCACTGGAAGGTTTAATGACTCTCCCCTGGTCACTCAGTCAGTATGTGTTAGAGGCAAGGCCTGAATCTACATCTTCCTGATTAAAAGGCCAGGCCCTAGTCCATGCTGATGCTTCTACTATACATTGAGTTAGAGTATACATGCTGTATATAAATATGTACATGAATATGTGCATATATATATATGTACATACTACACTGTATAACCATATATAGTACATGTGTGCATTTTACTCTGTTTATGTGTAGTATTAAAGTAAAGATTCCTTTACTGGGTACAGCAAACAAGGAAAGATTTAATAATGCCCTCAGAAACCTTCAAAACCCTCTCATTGCCTACAAAATGAAGTCAACAATCTTTAGCCTGACTTTCAAACCTTCAACCTACATCTTTAGCCAAAATAGACTTCTTGTCTTCTGCAAAATACATGTGGTGCTATGCTGGGAATTTTTTGAATGTTTTATTTTTTTCCCAATTACATGTAAAAATAATTTTTAACATTCTTTTTTTTTTAATTTTGAGTTCCAAATTCCTCCCTTCTTCTCTTTCCCTGAACCTGAGAAGGTGAGCAATTTGATGTAGGTTATAACTGTGCAATCACACAAATATATTTCTATATTAGTAATGTTATGAAAGAAAACACAGGCCAAAAAAAAAACCACACATAAAAAATAAAGTGAAAAAAGCATGCTTCAATATGCATTCAGATTCCATCAATTCTTTCTCTGGAGGTAGATAGCATTTTTCATCATAAGTCTTTTGTAATTTTTTTGGATCATTGTATTGCTGAGAATAGCTAAGTCATTCACAGTTGATCATTATGTAATATTGCTGTTACTGTGTACAATGTTTTGGTTCTTCTCACTTCACTTTGTATCAGTTTGTGTGAGTCTTTCCAGGTTTTTCTGAAAACATCCTACTCATCATTTCTTATACCACAATAGTATTCCATTACAATCATATACCACAACTTGTTCAGCCATTATCCAATTGATGGACATCCCCTCAATTTCCAATTCTTTGATACCACAAAAAGAGCTGCTATAAATATTTTTGTACAAGTAGGTTCTTCCTCTCCTTTTTTAAAAAATCTCTTCGGGATATAGACCTAGTAGTGATATTGCTGGGTCAAAGGGTGTACACAGTTTTATAGCCACATTGGGAATTTTTTTAAAGTCTGAGCTGGCCCTCAAGGAGTTACAGGGAATACACATATTATGTGTACAGATATGTATAATATAAGGTAAGGTGTGATGGAAGCAAAGGAAGAGACCAAGACATACAGCGTTAGAAAAATCTGAGGGCAAAGAAAATACTTTCAGCTGAAGGTAGCAAGGAAAAATTCCCAAAGGAGATGCCACTTGTATAGACACTTAGAGGAAGATACTGGATCCTGAAAGGCAGAGATGAGAAGGGAATTCATTCCAGGAACAGTGGCTATCGTACATGGATGCTTGGAGGCAAAAGGAATGTAGTATCAACTGAATAACTAGATGCCCTGTTTTGCTTAGAATATGTGAGGTAAAAAGTGATGAGTAATAAAGGCACAAATTCAAGTAGGAGCTATGTTGTGGACCATCTTAAATGTCAGGCTGAAGACTCTGCATTTTACCTTAAGAATAGGGAGCCACTGGAGGCTTTTGGGGGAGGGACATGGGCAGTTCTGTAATTTGGGAAATTACT